CGAACAAGTCGTGCGCCTCGTGGTAAGCGACACACCTGTCCATAACAGTTGCAGTGCCATTCAGAGCTTTAAATCGCAAAGATCTAAGGAGCACCGCCACTGTGCCCGTCAGCCTAAGACATAGGTTGACAAGTCCCATATGCCTGTAATTTCACCAGCATGCTTACTCTTCAAAGCCGGAACACAGTAATGCTGATATTATTGCTTGGCGGCAGAAACAGGTAAAATGGCAGTACTTCCCTGGACGAACTCTTTTCGCAAGGGGCTCTACTGCTATAAAAACTGTTCACTACTAAAGTTCTTAATTTTTTATCTACTCTGATACTTGGGTAACACCTTGATGAATACTATGTTTCACGCTATAGTCCATTTCACGTAGGATGAGTATTGTGACATTTCAATTTTTTACATTACATCTATACATTTTTTAATTACTCTCACTATTAGGTTACAAAAAGAAAATAGTAAATTTGTTACAATAGACCAAAAGCAACAATAATTGTTTCAATCGTAATATTAAGTAAAAATTACATTAATTGGTGGTTTGTAGATAGAAACTGAAACGGTAAAGGTAAAAATAATAATAATAATATAAAGATAAAAAATGACTCCATTTACTTAATGCGTATAATGTAATATTTATCTTACATGGTATATACTTTGGGAAAATAGTGTGAATGCACGAGAAGTATTTATAATTCAAAAAAGTGCATCTGTATTCTCGCTAATATAAAGAGTACTGAGACCTGCAGACCGTATTTCAAACAATTTAAAATCTTAACATTAGTTTCCATTTATATTGTCGAGATTTGTAAATTTACCAAACAGCACCCTGACTTCTACATCAATCTTGATGACCTAGGATATACTTTTAGACCACACAATAGATTGCTTCTGCCACAATCTCAGCTACAATTACACAGCTCAGGTCCGCAGTCAATGTCGGTAAAGATATTCAATGGTTTCCTGCCAATCATTAAGAATGAGAAAAAGTATTAACTCTTTCTTAATAAATTGAAATTATACCTAATTAATAAATGTTACTACAATTTAAGTGAATACTTTAATGACAAAATATATATTGTAATAAATTTTAAGAATTAAATCAAGACATAATAAATAAATCTTAAATTATTTTGTATTATATATTCATGTTAATTATATTGCAATTTAATTTAATCGGAATTTTCTCGGTGACATACTTTTATTATACATATATTGATAGTGAACAATTGAACTAACTAATCTAAGCCTCGGCCTGCCCCTGTTCTTGTTGTTATCCCTAAGACAGGGCTCATATGTGTAACATTATTTTAATTTTAAGACCTTACGTACCATATGAACAATAAATATATTGAGTATTGAGTATCCATAGAGATTTACACCTTATAATAAATAAAAACAATAATAGTCTTTATTCGCTAATTAATTTTAAGTTTTAATTATTATTATTTATCTAGTTTACACTTTTATTATTATTATTATTACTAAAGCAGTGATTTCGAAGCAGTAGTAGAAGGGTTTTAAAGTTTTATCAATGAAACAATTTAAGGCACAGATTATATTGCGCCATTGCGGCTGTGACGTCACAAAGAAGTATGACTTTCTTTTTGTAATTCCTAATCATGATAATGAAATTATATATTTTGGATGTTGGCAAATACTGTATTGTGCAGTTATATATCACGTGACCTACTTTTGTATGTACTATATTATATAACAAAGTAGGTATGTGAGATTCTTTAATGATGAGTCATCATGTTTACAAACAATTGCACCATATAAAAAAGTGTTGCTCAATGTTTTGATATCTTTTAGTAGGGGTATAAAGTTTCTTGTGCAGCATTTTCCTTTCATTATACAGAAAGAACCTAGTACAGGCTAGTGAGTGTCATTTTTTAACAAAATTCTGTTTTGAAAGTTTTTTTTAGATCAGGTGAGAGGGAACTTTAATATGTTTGGTTTCTATTTGATTATCTAGTTCTTAGGTTTTCGCGATTGTTACACATAGGAAATGAAACTATTTTTCCGGATTTAAATCGCGTATATTTGTTTTTTCTAACAAACCGACGTTTCGGGCCCTTTACAGGTCCCGTGGTCACGGTTGACTGAGGTGGTACAGCCTTCAACCAGTTATGTCTAATATTGATTGATGCAAATCACCCTATTTTTTCACTACAGTTACAATAGTTATTAATTAAATACCTTATTTTTAATTTTACAAAGAAAACATTCCAATTTACGCCACATTAAGTTTTACAAATTATTTTATGGAATGAATTTATATTAAGTTCAATTTATTATTAATTAATAATAGAAATTAGAATAAACTAAAACATATTAATTAGTACTTCAGTGTTATGTCTGTTTGGGACTTTTCATTAGAGGAAATACTGGATCCCAAACTGGTGGTACAGAGAAACCATCTTCCCTGTTGAAATTAGGATATTTTTTAATTTCAATGGCCTCTCGCAGCATCCTGGGTAGATAACAGACTTCTTTTGCAAGGACCTGGAGTTTGTCAAACTTCATTGAATGTGTAGGTTTATCCATGACATGCTCGCAGACTGCAGACTTGTTTATGCGACGGTGTTTGACATCAGCTAAATATGTTCTTTGACGCGGGTACAAATACTTCGCTTTGTTTGTCCAATATAAGAGAGACTGAACTCACAGTCAAGCTTGTAAACTTCTGCATCCTGTAAGGGGATGTTACATTTCACGGGTCTCAGGAACTGAGAAATCTTCCTTAGGGGCTTGAAATAGGTCTTGACAGATGCACGCCTGAGGACTCTTCCGATCTTGTCTGTAAATTTTTTTGTCTTTAAATGGCACCACATCTGAAGTACTCTCATTCCAACAAAAAAAGAATCATCAAAATCGGTTCACAAATGCCGGAGATATCGCGTAACGTACATACAAAAGAAAATACATACAGTCGTATCGAGAACCTCCTCCTTTTTTTGAAGTCGGTTAAAAAAGCAAAAAGCGACTCATCCGTAGAACAACGGCCTATGTGCAAGACTGCTTATTCTCAGAACATTCTACATTTCGTTCGTTGTTCTTCGCAGTGGATATCAGATCGACTGATATTCGATTTTATATGTCCAAAATAGGATAGAAAAATTATGAACACTCCTATAGATAGGCGTTATTTTAAATAACGAGATTATGTATTTATCATATTTTGGTTGTATAATCACATCAGACTCTATTCTTTGGATGAGTCAATAATGTTTCTTTATACTTTATTGGGCACAAAACGGTACAAATAGCGGACATAATCCATTAGGTATTCTCTTCCACTCAACTGGAGAGCTGGGTTCAGAATTATTATAAACTAGCGGTGCATAATATCACAGGCTAAGATAAAAAGAAAAACAGATAATATTAAAGTTTATAACTGTGATACACAATTTACGCATATAAATGGAAATGTTTATTTACAAAGAACAACCCCTAGAGTTTCTTGCTCATACTTTTTGGTGGAATCAGTCTTACGAATGAGCAGTAAGTTTTTCGGATGTTCGAAATTTAATTTGAGATTTACATGAGCTTTTCGGTGAAGGAACCTGCACGTTGAAGAAGATTCAACCTTAGATTAGAGATTTTTCTAACTCAACCCGAATAGAGCTAAACTATTTTAACACTTATTATTATTATTATTAGAGTGGCTTAATTCTGGGCATATGTAGCCCCTCATCACTGTAACCATCAGCTGATCTATTGTGATCACCACTAATTACAATTCGGAGCCAAGGCCGACACCATTGAAGAACTGAAGGACTTTCCTGGCTCCAACAGATTTAATGTCCTCTGATTGTGGCATATGCCTTCCCAGTATAGGGCTTCGTACGCCCATCAGGGGGTAACATTGGGTGAGAAGATGAGCAGGAGTTTTGTCCGCCTCGTGGCAGAATCTACGCTCTCTATTCTCTCTCTGCCCAATATTTGACATGTGCTTGTTCAAGCCACAGTGTCTTGTTAAGACTCTAGTGAGCATTCTGATGCCGTTCCTGTCCAATGATAGAGCATTTATCTAAACTGTTTTAACACTTACATCAATATATATTTTTGAGGCTTGCAAATTTTCTAGGAAGCATTGCCATCTCTATTCACCGCTAACTAATAAAAAACGTAATAATAGAAATGAACACAAATTAAAAATACCATTCTCAAAACTACGTATATGTATATGTAAATTTGGCCTGCATTCCATGGTAACAAAGATTTATAATAAAATACCCAACCAAATCGAAACATTTAGATAAAATTAAAAAAGAAAAAATTAAAATAGACAAATACAAAAGATCCAACGAAGAACTAAAAAATTTTCTAGTAGAAAAATTCGAAAATAAATATTAAGTTATGTGCATTAAATAGATGATTATATAATTAGCTAGAAAAAGGATTCGAAATTAAAAAAAAAGAGACCATGTAACAAAATTTTAACGAACTTTTATTAAATTTACAAATTATTGTTTTCTTAAGCCTAAACGAACGAAGTACCTTTTAGTACAAGATGTCTTACCGTGCTTACGCAATTGCACACAACACTTTATCAAATCAAATCACATAAGAATCAAAATAGTAACAAGTAACAAAATACATAAGAAAATCGTTAACAAATAGCTCACGTCACCGATGATATCCGAGCGGGCGTCGACAAGCAAATGCCTCGCTCTGGGCCTGTTCTGCTTTTATAACGTGGTGAAGGACGGTGCACAGCCGAGAGGGGTGTACAGCTTACAATATAATATCATCATGATCATCATCATGCCGGCTGTTTCATTATCCAATCTTGGATGTAGGCCTCTTCCCTCTTCTTTCACTCTTGGCGGTCATGGGCCCGACTAATCCAGTCCCGACCTCGTATTATACAGTTTAATATAAATAACTCATTATGTAAATAAATATGTAATAGTTAAGTATTATACGAGCTAGCATGTCTTAAGTTTTTCAGGTTATTCAATTGTTTTTATTTATTTATAAAATGCCCCTGCTCTTCATTGTTGTCAGGGCATCATATAATAACGACCTATATGTTATTTAACACCTCTGTAAACTTTATATGGAGCAATAAATTCAATTGAATGAACCCTCGCCTGAGAGGAGAGCCGTGATCAGCAGTGGAACGTATAAACCCATTGATAATGATGAATCGTTACGTCTAATTATTGTTATTTGTAACTTACAGATCCTTCACCATGCTGGTAGCCATTTGACGTTAAGAGAAGCATTACTTGTGTTAAGGAAAAGTGATACAGCAGCACCATGTTCGGCAATAAACCCGCTTTTGGGAATACCTCCGGTGGATTTGGTAAGCAAAATTGAAATTATCTTTATTTCATAGTTAAGAAATACAAAGAAGTCGTTAATGGGGTCATTCAAACCAATGAAGGACATGGGGCCCTTCAAACGTATGGAGGTGGTTAGGGCAGTGATTTTTACAAAAGAGTACATTATACATAACGGGCACAGAGTCATCAGGTCATATCGCCCCTGGTGGCTGATGCGGGAATTATTTTTTCCCTGTACATACACATATAAGTACATTCCTTCTATTGGGTATTGGTTTATGTTTTTTTAAACATGTTTTGAAGTAAATCGCTGCCTGTGTGAAATTTATTTCGGGTTCTGAAAAGTGTATAAGGGGATGCCATCTATTGATTAACGAAGTTCATCTTCATGGATATGCAAAGCGAAAATGTTCGTAGTGATGAGACCGTATTTACGGTGTTCTGATACTCATTTCAGACCAGGCATTTAGTGTGTCTAGCACATTATTATTTTTATTGCATCATTACATCCTTTGTCCTGCAGGGTCATTCAATAGTACGGCAACAACAGCGTCACCCTTCGGCGGTTTCAAGCCGACAACGGGCACCAGCGCGTTTGGGGCTCCACCAACCTTCGGCGCCAATGCAACTCCCCAGCCTGCTACTGGAGGAGGTAATTAATTTATTTATACAATTTTATCAAGTGTTAAGTGCGTTTTTATAATAGAATTTTTGTCTTGCAAAAACTTAGAGCAATTTAAAATCTGGGCCTCAGTGTTTTTGAGAGATAGATAGAAGTTTAAAAAAAAACTAAACATTTGTTAAATTAATGTTTTAAATTCAAATTCTACAGCATCCTTAGTATTTTGAAATTTTTATTTTATATTTTTACCATCATGACTGCATGCGTTTTTGCCTTTTACGACATTTTAGTTCGAATTATATTATCTTTGGAAGAATAGCTGGCCATATTTATATTTAAGAAAAAAGTTTATATAAATAATAATATTGCAAAATCTGTATTTGTTATGTTGTTAGGCGATATTTATTCATACAGGAAATAAATTATCATTGTATTTACTTCCTCGCAAATGTGATGGAAAACGTTGTATATATTAATCGGTTTCGGGCTTCTAATAGTCTCTCTTTAGTATGAGATGAGGCGAGGGGGGAGTAGGGAAGATTGCTGACGAAATGGAAACGAGTGTACTTCTCGACGATACATTATTATTAACTAACTTAACCTTACACCTTTCACTACATAATATACTTAACTATAACTGAGTACTAACATACTATACCACAAGTAATTTATTATTTACCGCCCTTACACATTGTACTATTTTTGTAATGGCTCACCTTTGTTTACATTTAGTTACATAAATTAAATATTACATATTTGTTCCCAGGTCTTTTTGGCTCAGCAAATACATCTACTGGGGGTCTTTTCGGGGCATCAACATCAACTGCCACTTCGGCGTTCGGGGGTACTTCGAGCGGATTTGGCTTTGGCGCTAACGCACCTTCTGGCGGTCTCTTTTCCAATAACACTCCTGGTGGGGGGTTGTTCGGAACTCAGAGTACTTCTGCTTTCGGAGCTAAGCCTGCTGGTAAGTCCATCATAAAAAGCAATGGAACTGCCTTGCCTTAAACTCTAGTATCAGAACCGATGTCGCCAATGCTCACACATTCTTCATTTGGAACACTACAAAATCTTGATATTGATTGGTCGTAGTTTCAAATTTAAAAAGAAATAATAAATTCTTGATTGTTAATATAATTTAAACTTCACCATGTTGGCATATTGTTGAAAATTCAATACCGTTAATACTTATTATTACAATATTATTATTGACGTTATGTTTTTTAATATTCAGTTGTTGCCACACTAATATAGCTGGAGGAATACGTTCTCAAAAATCGCAAAGGATTCTTTAATTATGTTGCCCTTCTCCCTCTTCTAAAATTACTTAGGCAAGAGTCTTGTCAACATTCTGGTCCTTCGAGCCGGATGTTGGCGAGACTAAAATGTACCAAAAAATATACACTCGCGGTCGATTTAAATATAATCTTAGTGGAGTCTCGTCGAGTCGCCCACTGTACTTTATTCAGGTTGGGACTTGTGTGTATTTTGTTCAGGTTTCGGTTTTGGCAATACATCAACAGCAAGTACATCGGGAGGCGGTCTCTTCGGCGGCACGGCGACCACCGGAACAGGTCTATTCGGCCAGCAGAACAACGCATTGAGCGGCGGTGGTCTATTCGCCAATACTACAGGTATTAATAATAATAACTGTCTTTTTTGAAGACGGAGCAAAATGACATTTCATTGCGTAAAATTGTTGCCCGCTTGTAAGCAGCTGATGAGTGATTGCAGTCGATAAATATATTCTATCGATTATCGATTGTATGTCACGCTTATGCATATATAAGTGTATTAAAAATATTTGAGAGAAGTCATAGTTTTAAATTTTTCGTTTTAATTAAATATAGATATTGAAATGCGCCTGTTCTTATTTTAAAATGTATTATGAATAAAAATTGATTTCGATTCTCGAAGGCCGACTGTCAAAATAAGAATAAAAAAGGCAAGAACGCAATTAGTAATCTTTAGAACGGCGTAACATTCAGAATTCAGACATTTTTGGCAATATTTTACCTATCGAGTTCTTAGGTTTTCGCGATTGTTACACATAGGAATGAAACTATTTTTCCGTCAGTCAACCGTGACCATGGGACCTGTAAAGGGCCCGAAACGTCGGTTTGTTTGAAAAAACAAATATACGCGATTTAAATCCGGAAAAATAGTTTCATTCCAATATTTTACCTTCTTTCACAACCCATCGATAAAACTGTCGACCACAACTACATGACTATATAAAATTTTATAAAAACTAACAACCCTGCAAATGTCATTTTACTCCGTCTTCAAAAGCAGATTTAGTAGCTGTAGAGAGAGCTTCTGGTGAAAGAGTCTAAGGATGTACTGTCACCCCACCTACTTGTGCCACCAAGCAGTGATGTGACCGTACTGTGTTCCGATGTTGAAGGTCACTATCTTTTCTACCATGATCTTCATTTATTTTTAAGAAATAGTTCTACTAATTTGGTATAATTTATAAAACAAAGACCGAACAGTAAGAAGTAGCAGTAGAGCTCCTGTGAAAGTGTTCGTCCAGGAAAGTACTGCCTTAACCTTAACCTTACCTATTTCTGCCGCCAAGCAGTAATGTCAGCCGCATTACTGTGTTCCGGTTTTGAAGGGTGATATTACAAGGACTTGTCAACTTATGTCTCAGGGTGACGGGCGCAGTGGCAGTGCCTCTCACATTTTTGAGCTTTAAAGTTCCGCAACTGTTATGGACAGACGTGTCGCTTACCATCAGGCGCACGACTTGTTCGTCCCGTCACTTAATGTTATAAATAATTATAATCTTAGTACAGAGTATTAAAAAAAACCAACCTCGAAAGTATGTGGAATTATATATAATTACCAAGTTTTGTAGAAATTGGTTACCGAAAAGTGCGCAAACACGGATTCATCCCCTAGTTCGCCACTATACGGGACTTGACGCAGAAGATAATAAAAGTCGGTTCTCACCACTCAAAGTATATTGAGAGAGAAAACCGTCTTGAATTGGAGAATAGCAAAATAAACCACTAAAATAATTGCTCCTTATAATAAAATTTAGGCGCTATTTATAAAAATGAATCTTCATGCGTGAACAGCCACCCTTAGAGGTGGATGATTTTCTTCAAAATTAAATGGGACCACTATGGAGGTACCCTCTTTCCAACAAAAAAGAATTATGAAAATCGGTTCACAAATACCGGATTTATCGGACATATAACATACTTTAAAAAAAACCATGCAGTCGAATAAACGACTTTTTTGAAGTCGGTTAAAAAATACTCTTTAGCAGCACAATTAGGTACAGTTGGCAGTACTTCGCTGGACGAAAACATTCACAAGGAGTTATTGTGTCTTAGTGCCATCTTAGTTGTTCTTATGTTGAGTGTGTGCATTATAGTACATTCGTCATGCCTAATCATTTACTACATTTGCACTTCTTACCAAAGGACTACCTCATTCTGTTGTTTTATATTTTTTTTCCTTAAATGTCAAAGACTTAAAACCTTACAGCCAAGTCTACAGTCCATTATTTACTTTATAGGGTCAAACTTTGACAGTATTGCCGTAACAGTGACTTTGATTGCCCTTACGTATATAACATCATTGTCCTTACTCTAATTTCCTTAAATTAAAAAAAAATCAATTTATGTGCAATTTGCGCAGGCGCTTTCGGTCAGCAGCAACCACAGCAAGCGGGGACAGCACACGTGAAGTACAATCCTGTGGTCGGCACAGACGTGGTTGTGAAGTCGGGATCTTCGCAGAATGTCAATATTAAACACCACTGCATTACTTGCATGAAGGTAAGATAATTAAATATCTTACTCGACAACTTTTGTATAGTCTGTTTCAATACATTTTAAACAAAATGTAAACAGAACGGTTTGGGTGAGTTTCTAAAGTAATCACTTTATAAATCTAATAAGTAACACTTTCACGTATATTTCGAAGTTTTTGATTTGGTATCTCATCAATTTTTCCAACAACATTCATTTATTATAATTATTAATACAAAGATCGAACACTCAGAAAAAATTCCTTCGATCCGGTCGGATTCGAACCGACGTCTTCTTGCATACCGTGCCAGACGCTATACCAA